ATTCAAATGACAAGCATAGTGGCTGCGTTCGATCCTCAACCATCCCATCTTAGATTCCACGTGTCTTCCTTTTAGTCAGCCACGTGTCATATCATATTTTACCCTATATAGTTGGTTATGTGGATTTAATTGAATTAATTATTTTTAGTTTGAACTATGAATACATATATAATAATTAATAAAAATATATACATATAATAAGATTATACTTATTATTTTAAATTCATTAACTCTATATCACGAATTCACCTATGAGGAGTGGGAACAAGCTTATACTATAAATCCAAATCTCTCTCCTTTACAGATTCTAAAGAAAAATCAGCTTGGAAGATTGCATCTTTTGTTATTTTTTTCTACCTTTTCTGGGTACCATCTTAATAGAGAAAGAATGAAAAGCTAGTTACAGACTTAGTGAACTTTGACCGGACATTCTTTTCATGATTTTCTTCAACTTGTTTTATGAGAATAGAAAAGGGTCAAAAATGTCCTTTAATTACGGGAAATAGAATTAATTTTACCTTATTTTGAATTTTATCTCAAATATGTCCTTATTATTAGTGGATTGGCTTAGATTTATTCCTTGAGTATGATAAATAGAATAAATTTACTTTCCATTTGACTTTGGTCTCAAATATGCATTTACCATGAGTGGGCTGCTTCAAATTTGCCCCCACAAAACTAACGAACTTTCAACTTCTTATTTGTACCCTTTAAAATATACTTTATTATTAAGATAGAGTGACACTATAAAACTTATAATCTTAACCCCAAAGTTTCCTTGTAAAAAGTTTTAACCAGAAAAATTACATATACCCAAATGATCAAAAGAGCCGAAAATATTTAATTGTTCATCACATTCCTGCCTTCCCCCTATTTAAATTTGTTTAGTCTACTAAATTTAACAATAATTAAACAAAACACCAATTCTAGAAAATCAATTTTTTTCATGGCAAAATAAATAATCTTCAACCCAAATAAAATTAAAATTCTTAAATCAGTGAGAAATAATTAATAATAAATGAAGAAATTACAGAGAGCTATTAAGTATACGTAACTTTGTGACAAGAGAGGGTTGCTCTAGTGGTGAGCACCCTCCACTTCCAACCAAGGGGTCGTGAGTTCGAGTCACCCCAAGAGCAAAGTGGGGAATTTCTGGAGGGAGGGAGCCGATGGTCTATCGGAAACAGTCTCTGTACCCCAGGGTAGTGGTAAAGTCTGCGTAAACATCATCCCCAGATTCCATTAGTCATGCCAGAAAGAATAAAATCCATAAAAGAATAATTTTATTTCTTTTGAGAAAAAATTATGCATATAATTATAGTTGAGTAGACAAGAAAGTATTGATCTCTACAAAGATAAAATTAAAAGAGAGAAAACTTATTAATTATCCTATGAGCAAAACAGAATATTTTGTGAATCTCTGCTTTTGATGTATTTTTGAAGAACAAATTTGGCATGTTTTTTTCTTTTCTTTTATTCTTCCTCTCATTGTTTTAGAAATAGAAGTCAAATAAAATTGACGCTTAAATAAAAGGATTGATTGAAAATAAATTCTGATAGTTTTGAGGGGCAAATATGAACTAGTTCACTCATTATAAAGGCATATTTGGGACCAAAGTCAAATTGAGGGCAAATTTATTCTTTTTTCCCATAGTTGAAGGACAAATTTGAATCATCCCACTAGTAATAAAGCCATGTTTGGAACCGATTCAAACTAACCACAAATTTACTCTATTGATAGGCATTTTTGGACCATTCCCCCTATAAGAAATTGGAGAATATAATAAAATATTGGCAATTTTTTTACGAACTTTTGTCACTTTAGCAACAGAGACAATTTTTAAAAAAAAAAGAAAAGAAGAAGGAAAGGACAAATTTTCAAATCTTTCTGCTATAAATATTCAATATATAACCAAAAACAATTCAATTTTTTCATCATTTCAAAAGGCATCCTTTATTAGAGTAACATGTTGCATATGTTAGTCAATATTGTTGACTTCAAGTTAAAAATTGATAGTGATATTTTCCTAATAAAATTGATTACTTCGTTTCATTTATTTTCTGCCCAACCTAGCATCTAAAAATCTAGTAGGTAAAGTGAAGTCTTTTAGAACCTCTTTCTCTTTGGCCAACCGCTATGTGATATATTTTTATTAACTCAATGGTCAGTTACTCAGTTTGCTTACAAATGGTATAAGCTCCAAATTTCAATGGCGGATGTAGAGTATAATTTACTAGAACCCGTAGTTTTTGAGCAAACTTTGTATTTTTATTAAGAAATTTATTAAATATCTATAAATATTTAATTGTAAATACAATTATTATAAAATAATAATTTGAGATCAGTGTAGGAACACATAACGTCAAATATTAAATCCACTTCTGCCAAACCTATAAACATACAAAAGCTAACTCGAACTTGCGATCTCGTGCAAAAGTGAGGCTCATGCAACCTACAAATTAATATAGTCACTACATAGTTCAATGGCAGTATCTTAAGTAGATTGAAAGTATACTGATTTAATTTGATTTTTCTTCATTATTACATCGAAATAATTGTACGTTGCACATATTTTTTGTGCCTTTGCGATACTGAATGTTGTATACTTCCATTTCTTCAGAATAAACCCATGAAATCACTTAATGGACTGAAATAAATGTTCCTCTAGTTTAACAGAAATAGCGATTAAGTTATCTAGTTTTTCCAGGATTAGAAATTAATAAAACACCCCCCCAATGTAATTAAAAAAAAAATGTCATCCAACTTTGTCTAGAGGACAAAATAGAAGTTACTAAAGCCATGGTAACTCCTGATATCCTTTGATTTGTTCTTTATCTGGTGCTATTATTTCACATTCATGGCTAGTAAGATACAAAAGACTTTTGGGGACAGGCTTCATTTTGTTATTATTATTTTTTTTGTTTAAAAATACAAGGAGAGAAAAAGGGTGGTGGACATCTTAGAAGGGTATACTCCAGTTGCCTGAAACATGTGAAAATGCTTTTTCTCCTTTGCTACGCAAGGATTCTAAACCGGCCTTGCATCTTCCTTCTCCTCAATTGAGGCAGGCTTTTAAGGAGAATATTGTGAGAAAAAACTTAGATATATATTTTGCTTTAATATTGTGAGCCATTTTCATCCTCATATTTTCCAGTCAATTGGCAGGCCAATGAACAGAAAAGTCACAGGACAAGAAAATTTTCTATAGCTAAAAATTTGAAAGGAAGTTTGATTTAACAGATAAAGTTGGAGAAAAAAAGAAATTTTATCCCATGCTAATTTGTCATTTATCGTTCTCGATGGGAAAAGGTCTAAAACAGCTCCTGAACTATGCAAAATGGAGCAATATTGATCTTAGTTGTGCCCTTACCGTTACCAAATAAGTTTAAATATATCCTTGCTGTCTGTTGCAGAAATAAATGGTAAGACTCGACCGAAATGCCCTTTTATAACCGTGTTGACTAAGGGTCATCTATTAAAAAATAATTTGTCTCCAGCAAATCAGAAGCTGCCATGTGTCCAAGCTTAAAACTAAACACACCCCAAACATTATCAACTCTCTCTCTTCCTCCTCGTCCTTTTTACGCCACCACTCCTCTTTACCATCGACCGTCGCTAAAAATTCCGTCGATGCCCTTCCCATTCTTATCCTATCCCTCTATAAATCCACTAGTAAATATCAATAAACAAATATTCCCTATGTCTCATATTAATAATCGTGATTACTAAAAATAGTTATCTCAAATTATTTGTCATTTTAGAAGTTCAAGACAAAATTGAATTTTCTTTTCCTTTTTTACCCTTAATAATAATTGTTCTTGTAGATGAAGATAAATACATAAAAGAAATTTTATTTTAAGACATAAATAAAGCTATAATTGTCTAATTCCTTTCCTAATTAATATTTCTTAAGGGACGCGTAAAAGAAAAATACGACAGATAATATGAGACAGAGAGAGTAATACTAATGTTTAAAGATCATTAAATTCACATGAGAATGCACATAAAGTTGCAGATTCAAGGAGAAAGAATGCCACATTACAAGAAGCAATAAATGTGAGATATGAGATGAAGATAATTATCTGAGGGGCAACTAAGCTAAAAGAATCAAGTATAATTTCATTAGAGATTCCTATAAAGATTTATTTGATATCTAATTTATGTAAGAAACTTGTGATAATGGAGAAAGCTTTTCACAGTGGGGTAAATAACAAGGCAAGAATCAGCATAAGAAAACCAATTGGTGTCCTGGACAGATAAGAAAGTTATCTAAGCTTTTCAAGAAAATTATTGAAAATGAGAAAGATCTTGAGAGAAAATTTCTTCCGTATAATTTTTTTTTCTCATGGTACTAGGTTGATTTTATATAAGAGTATGGGTACTACCTATCTGTATGTGCTAAAATTCTATTGCTGACTTATAACAATGTGTACAAAATGTGTACAAATTATACACAAACAAAAAGAAAAAAAAAATCTAATAAAAAGCTGTCATGAGCTTGTTACGTGTTGTCTCCAGCTATGTTTGGGTTGATTTCCATCGTCTACATGTATTTGAATCAAAATTATTTTTTAGCTCCATGTATCCAGGGACAAAACAATTAGGCTTTGTATCTAATGCTGAGTTAGGAGATAACTCAGATTTCTCCATCAAATCCAATATCAAATCCAAACTTCGATCACCATAGGAGCATCAGAATTATTCTTTACACCTTTGCAATTTAGTATCACTAACACCTCCCCCTCAAGTTGCAAGGGCAGAAGACACACCCAACTTGCCCAAAAGCTCATAATGTTGCGATCCAGAGAGCAAGTTCGTGAAAACGTTTGATAATTGAGAGGTCGATGGAACAAACAAGAGAGAAATTAGGACACATATTGTGACGAATGAAATGGCAGTCGAGCTCTACATGCTTCGTTCGCTCATAAAAAATTAGATTTTTTGCTATATGAATTGCAGCTTAACTTAATGAGAAAAGTGAAATAGGAAGCATGAGTGATACTGGGAGATTAGATATATAGGAGATGTACCAACCAAGTAATCTTCACAACTACTCTTCACATTGATTTGTATTCAGCTTCAGCGGATGACAAGGAATTGAAATCTGTTTCTCAAACTTCTACGAAATTAGGGATCCCCCAAGACTAATAAAGAATTCACTCACATATCTTCACGTGTTCGGACAAGCTCCCCAATTTGAATTGCAAAAAACAAGGAGATAGGTTTTGATTCAGGGAATCAAATTCAGATGGAAAGTAAAAGAATAAAATAAAAAAATCAGACAGAAGGTCAAGGGTGAATTTTGTCTGACTTAAAATTATTTCACCGGCATCTCTCGGTATTTCCATTCCTCAGAAGAACAAGGTCTTTAATTTTAAACTATGTGTCCAAAAACATCTTTAAGTCAAGAAGCTCAATGTTGTCATTACCGGTTAAGAGAATGTCGTCCACATATACTGTCAAATAGAAGTTGGATCTTCATTCTTTTTTTAAAAATAGAGAGTAATCGTTCATTGAATGAGAATAGGCCTTGAAATTGAGTGTTGCAGTCAATCTTTTGTACCATTGACGAGATGCTTAACGAAGCCCATTGAGTGATTTTCTAAGTGTGCGTATATGATTAGGTGTTGGGGGCTGCATACCAGTTGAATACTTCATGTCGACCTCCTCATCTAAGTCTCCGTGAAGAAAAGCATTATTCATATTCAATTGAAATAGTCTCCATCCTTTCTTGACCACAATTGCTAACAAATACCTTATCGATATTATTTTGACAACTGGAGAGAAGGTTTTTTAGGAAAATCCTTTCTCTTTGAGTGTCACCTCTTATCACTAGCCTTAGCTTTTAAACTTTTAGCACTTTTGTTAGTCTTGTATTTTATTTTGTATACCCGCTTGCAAGGTAATGTTTTCTTCCTAGGAAGAAGTTCAACCACTTCCCAAATCTGATTGGAAACCAAAGCATCATATTCCTTAGCCATAGCTTCTTGCCTATCATGGTGCATAACAGAATAGGAATAAGAGTTAGTCTCGAAAATATAATAAAGCGAATTCAGAAACTTTTGGTTAGTAACAAAAAATGCAAAAAAAGAGATAGAAGGTGCTGAATGAGTGGCAGCAAAACAAGAATCAATAAGTTCTGTATAAAATACTGCATTAAGTACAAAGTCACTGGGATGAGTTGTAATCTTATGTGTTCTCTTAAATTTTCTAAATTCTTAAGAAAAAAGTGGTGTTTCTTCACCAGAAAATGATGCAAGGAATATGCTATTAGGTGGAGAGAGAACAGAGGGAGAAGAAGATCTATCTGAGTAAAAATTAGAATGATCCTGGATTTAATATTTACTTCAGGTTAACCTGACTATCCACATCAAAAGTATTATCTCGCAACTCAAAAGAGAGATCTAAATTCGAAAGAGGAATCATTGGATTCCAAGGTAGTTTAGGTGCAAAAGGGTATACAGATTCATAGAAAAATAACATCTATAGAGAAAGTGGCTTGCTTTGTTTATAGATCCATAACCTTGTACCTTTTTTTTAACTGTCACACCCCAACTTATGTGAGGCGTGGCCGGCACCCGATACCGTACTGGTCCGAGCGACTCACTCTGCAACTCTTGAATGCAGGACGTAACCCAGAATATACCTAGGCCGATATGGTTGAACTGTATCGTACTATAAGCTATCATGAAATTCAGCGCCCCAATAATTGGACGTCACTATAACGAAATATACCAAGTATGTAGGGCAGAAAATAATAGATATAAACTCGAAAACTAAAGAATATCAATAAATCAGTAGAATATTTGCTGAAAGATAAGAACAACAGTGGACTTACCATGTACTCTCGATCGGCTTACTAGATCACAATTGCTTAGACCGCTTAGTCCCTCTATCTAACTACACAACTTATACTGTCATAATACTCTGATCTATCTCTAATGACTAGATTTCTAATCTTTTACTACATCATCGTCTATTCATACAAACTGAACATAAAGTGGCTCTTACATGTAGCAAGGCAGATCATTTGTAAGGTGAACTACAACCATAAGTGTCTGGTGGAACGTACGCGTAGCTAAGCAGACCGTCCGTACGACTCACATACTCGGGTTTGGCTATGCGTGCTCCTGGCCATCCATAACGACCCTTGTTGTGCACCTATGCATTCACTAGTGACTGTTCATAGGGCACATACTTATGTATATACAACATCAAATAATATTCAACAATCAATAATTTATAAGCTAGGTACTCGTACTTATAAAAAAATAAACTTTTCCATTACTCTCTGTAAATCATGATTCGTATTTGTTAACTCATTTTCTTTAAACCGCTTCTTACGTTAATTACTCATATCCTACTTCCCTTAGATTTAGGAAGTTCATGTCTATCCTAGGATATGTACGACTATCGCATGGCCCTATTACAATCTGATTCTACAACTTATGTTACCATTTGTTGGTTAGCTTATTTGTCCAAAAATTTTAATCTACAAGGGGACTCGTGTTTAGGCAGCTTATTACCTTTCTTAAATTATATTTTACTCTCCATGATATTAGGGAGGTTATGGCTATCTTTACTTAACTATTATGATCTATTTCCAGCGATTAAGTCATTTTGTGCAAGACTTCTAGCTCGTTAAGCCGTTTATAGGTAACAATCAATCAGATATTATACTTCTTGTCTTATATAGAATACCACTTCCCCGTGCTCTACTCATTTCTAGGTAATATGCATGAAGGACAACTGCGGACTACTTTCAACTTATCTATATTAACTTCATGAACTTATAGACGGCCTTAATCTGTCGACAAAGAGCATACATAAGAACTTGCCCCCTTGAATCTCTTATAAGGGTGACATGACTAACAAACTCATGCTAAAATAAGGAAGGAAGACTTTACATACCTCAACCGTAGCTATTCTTCACAAAACCACAAGTGACTCACCAATATGCTGGTCTACAAGATGAAAGCATAGCTTTTATCAATACTAAGAACATATCGACAAACGACGAGCGGCAAACGACAAGCTTATACAAAATCGAGCAGCAGTACCCCCCCTCTTCTCTTTACTTTCCTCAAGCCCTTAACAATAGAAAAAAATACAAGAACAACATTAACCACATCATATCCAAGCCATTCCATCTATTTCTAGCCACAACATATCACAAACATGGCTTCAAAATAGTCAACTACAACACAACACTTTAAGTACGATTTCTGACCTTTATCTCATAAGTTCTTAATCAATACTTCAAAGACTTCATTAAAATCTTATACATGTAGGGGAGGGGGTACCTTACCTTGGATGCAATAAATCAGCCCCCTTATACCTTGCTTCAACTTGAAGTAATTTATCTCCAAGGAAAGAACCACTTTGATTTCTTGTAGAAATTTACTTGAATGGTAGGAGAAGGTCTTGGGAGCTTTTTAGGAGATTATGATTCAGTTTTGGTCTAAGAATGAGGTGGGGAAAGGGCTGCAGTGCTTTATAGAAAGGTGGAACTTTCCACCAACTATATGGGTCCTAACAGGGTTGTCTGTGCAGTCTCGCAAAAATATGAATATCTATCAACTGCGACATCGTATCGATGAACGGTTTAGTGTGTTAGAAACTAGACGCGTGGACTGTCAATTTGGTGTGTGGATGAAATCATAAATCCCAGTATATTGGAAGAAAAGCTCAGTGAGATTAGACCCAAATTTTGATAAACTTAAAAACTTAACTTGCAATAACTTTGCCGACTTTTGTTTTACAACTTGTTTGACTTCAAAATTTAAAATACGAATATTATATGATTTAAATACCTCATAACATGACCTTCTTATCATATTAAAAACTTCTAGTATTACCCCTAAAGTACGGGTTATAATAATCCCAATTTGCCGACATTGACGAACTTGTTTCTTCACTTTATTTAGCCTCTAATCTTTACGACACTAATTTATCACTTGCTTAAACATCATAAAAACTTTTACCCTTAAATATAACCTTATTCTCTAGGATTGTGTCGATTAACTTACGACACACTTAATGTATGAAAATACGAGGAGTAACATTAACTCACTCAAAACACAAATGACATAAAGGTACAAAGTGTAACATACTAGACATGAGCTTAAGTGCTTGTAACCTCAAAAGTAAATTTTTCTCATACTTACATCAATTAAGTTACGATGAACATGACGTATAAAGGCACGGGTGTAACATCATCCCCCTCCCTAGAAACATTCGTCCTCGAATGTTATACTCTATATCTTTACCTTCATCGTGACTATAATCCTTATCCAAAGATTTATATTTACGAATGTTACTAACTTATAGTTACGGCTTCTATCTTGTTTCTCATTATCTTTGGGTTTAAACATAGTTAACACGTTCTAATCCCGCTTATAACTTACAAATTGGGCTCCCTCTTGGCCCTCGCCATGATCTTATGCTAGAAGTCATCGTCTTACTTATCGAACATTCTAATGTATAATACCTTACCAAAGGTTATCACTTTCCTTGTCATGATCATCGCTTATTAATCTTACCATGTCTATATCACTTGGTTCTTACTATGATTTACATCTTATCTCGAGAGTTCTGGGGTTTCTGAGCTACTACCGGATTCATTATCTTATTTAGCCTTTCCACCTCTTAACGATACTTCACTATGACTCATCTTGAATACGACTTTCTATCTCCATTATTAATAGAGTTAACTACATATTCTAACATCATACTAGATAAATAAAGGCTCACTAACGTATAGGTAACATACCTAAATGTCTCTCAGATGGGGGCTCGAGGTCCCACTGATCTCCTAATGCATACATCTGATTATGGTACCCTCTCAAGCCTGATGCTCCCCTTCTACCTCTGCCACGCTGAAGCGAAAGTATTGAACTCATAGGCTATCCCAAATGACTAATACCCACATGAATCAATGTTAGACAATTCCGTGCCATATTCCTGGGGGTGCCATATCTGAAATAAGCATATGTACCTTGTAAGCACGATATCTCATGCCTCCTTCTTCACTACTCACATAGAGGTGGTTTCATATGTCCAACATTCTCTTGATCTTGCACTCCTTGTTCCCTTGATCCTTGACCTATTCTCAACTGATTACTCTGAGAATATTGGGTCTCCTGAGGCCTTGATAAATTGCCTCGCTTGTACGGGTGATTGACCTCGTCTCCTCTAAGACCTACTACTACTTGGCTGCCCCTACATACTTTTCAATCGGCCTATATTTCTTACCTTGCTGCCTATCTCGAGCTTGCTCTATCTGCTGTCACTGTTTACACTTCTCTAGATTATGGGCGAAAGCCTGAATTCGATATATGTTTATATTGTCATTCAGCGAGGCTGTAGTACAAGCTTCAACTAACTCTGGTGCCAGCCCTGTCACAAATCGATGTATCCTAGCTCGCCTCATATAAATCAAAGATGGGGCATACCTTGCCAACGAATCAAACCTGAGGCTATACTCGCAAACACTCATGTCACCTTGTTGTAGGGCTAAACATTTTTCAATCTTGGCCTCCCTAATCTCTAATGGTAAGTAATGGTCCAGGAAGGCACTGGAGAATTTTCCCTACTTTGTTGGTTGCACATTCTGCCCACTGGATAATTCACATGAATCATACAAATACATAGCTACATCTCACAGCCTAAAAGCTACTAACTCCACCGCTTCAGTCACAGAAGCATACATAACTTGAAAGATCTTGTAAAGTTGATCAATAAAATCTTAGGGATCCTTATAGTGATTTGTCCTCGTGAACTCTGGAGGGATCAAAGCAATAAACTCGCGGACCCTCGAACTCCCGGGGTCCCTCAGAAGGTCCGCACTAGCTGGCACTCTAGTTTGTCCTGTATAGCTACTAACTGGGTAAAAAAATGTACAACATTCCTGAGATCCTGATCAATAGGGACTGGTGGGCATACTGGAGATGCTGGAGCTCTATGAAGCTCCTCTGGTGCTGGTAGAGCAGGGGATACTCGGGAAAAAGACTCAACCCGAACCTCATACTTATCTATATCAATTGGGGTGGTCTACTAGAACCATCCCCCCTTAATAGTATGACCTTTCTGACTAGCTGTAGCTATTCTAGTGTTAGGCATCTCTATACAACATTTATCGAATAGGCGTTAGACATTGACTCCTTATGACTCAACTCTATACAACACGATCTAGATTAGAAAGAAGGGTAACCAATCCTAAATGCCATATAGCTTCTTGTTTATAAATATGGTGCATAACACATCCATAAATAAAACTCTACTAGACATTACTTTGTAGACTCCCTAAGACCCGTCTTTCTTTGATACCAAGTTTATCACATTCTAACCTACGTGAGGCATGGCCGACACCTGATGCCGTACTGGCATGAGCGAACCACTCTACAACTCTTGAATGCTGGACGTAACCCATAATGTACATAGGCCGACATGGCCGAACTGTATCGCACTATAAGCTACCATGGCCAATATGGCCGCAACTCGTAATACATCATAGGCGGGCAAGCGTCGTATTATCTAGCCATCATACATAAAGCATCAATATATGTTCGAGCTGAGGAGACCACTATGAGTATCAATACCAGACAACCCAAAATGAAAACATAAATGAGGGCCGGCAAAGCCACTAACATGCTATGCATAATGAACCTGTATCTATAAAGTCTCTAATAGTATCTGACATCAAACATGGTCGGGACAGGTCCTCGTCCTACAAATAAGTCTGTAGAAAAACTTCGATACCATAACCTCTAGACCTCTAGACTCGGTTGCGCTCTGAATGAAATGGAGTCTTACCAATCCTCTGCTGAATATCAACTATGTCTACTGTTAGGGCTCATCAAACTAATTACCTGCATATGCATGCATGAAATGTAATGCTGCAGCAATGGGACATCACTACAACAAAATATACCAAGTATGTAGGTAGAAAATAATATAAACTCGAAAACTAAAGAATATGAATGAATTAGTAGAATCTCTTCTGAAAGATAAGAACAAAAATGGACTTACCATGTACTCTCGATCGGCTTACCAGATGACAATCGCTTGGACCTCTCGGTCCCTCTGTCTAACTACACACTTATACTGTCATAGTACTATGAACTATCCCTAATTGGATTTCTGATCTTTTATTACATCGTCGTCTATTCATACAAAATGAACATAAAGTGGCTCTTACGTGTAGCAACAACAGACCGTCTGTAAGGAACACTAAAACCATAAGTGTTTGGTAGCATGCGCGTGTAGCTAAGCAGACCATCCATACAGCTCACATACTCAGATTTGGCTATGCATGCTCCTGGCCATCCATAACCACCCCTTATTGTGCACCTATGCCCTCACTAGTGACCATCCATAGGGCCCATACTTATGTATATGCAACATCAAACAACATCGAGCAATCAACAATCTATAAGCTAGGTACTCGTACTTAGAATAAAATAAACTCGTCCAATACTCTCTATAACTCATGATTCATATTTGTGAAATCCTTTCCTTTAAACTGCTTCTTACGTTCATTACTCATATGCGGCTTCCTTTAGCTTTAGGAAGTTCATGTCTATCTAAGTATGTATACGGCTATTGCGTGGCCCTATTACAACCTGATTCTACAACTTATATAACGTTATCTTAGTTGGTTAGCTTATTTGTCCGAAATCTTTAATCTACAAGGGGACTCGTGTTTAGGCAGCTTATTCCCTTTCTTAACTTACATTCTTCTCTCCCTAACACTAGGGAGGTTATGGCTATCTGTATTGAACTAACATGTTCTGTTTCTAGTGATTAAGTTATTCTATCGATTGTGCAAGACATGTAGCTCGTTATGCCGTTTATATGTAACAATCAATCGGAGATTACACTTCTTGTCTTATATAAAATACAAGCTTCCTGGTGCTCTAGTCACTTCTAGGGAATATCCATGAAGGAACACTATGGACAACTTACAACTTATCTATATTAACGTCATGAACTTATAGATGACCTTAATTCGTCGACAAAGAGCATACGCGAAAACATGTCCCCTTTAATCTCTTATAAGGGTAACGTGACTTACAAAATCATGCCAGAAGAAGGAAGGAAGAACTTGCATATCTCAACTGTATTTTTGTCTTCATGCTACCACAAGTGACTCACTAATACGCTAGTCTACAAGATGAAAATATACCTTTTATCTATATTAAGAGCATTTCGATAACCGACGAGCGGCAAGCTTGCTTAAACAAAATTGGGCAGCACCTCCCCTACTTCTCTATTCTTTCCTCAAGCCCTTAACAATGGCAACAACACAAGAACAACATTAACCACATAATATCCAAGCTATTCCACCTATTTCCAGTCACAACACATCACAAACATAGCTTCTAGATAGTACACTATAACACAACACTTTTAATATGATTTCTGTCCTTTATCTCAT